CCCCAAAACCCCAAAACCCCAAAACCCCAAAACCCCAAAACCCCTTAAGAAAGATTGATGATTTAAGTATAAATTATTAGATTTTAAGTTTGTTATTTATTATTTAATAGCAAGCAAGCAAACATGCCTCCCAAGCCAGATGACCAAGAAAAGAAATTCGGTAAGAATCTTGCGATTTCTAAACTTTTCAATAGTTTACCTCAAAGTCGTTGGAGGTGAAGTCACCAGTGCTGCCGCCCTTGCCCCCAAGTGCGGTCCCCTCGGTATGCCACCCAAGAAAGTAGGTGAAGACATCTAAAAGGCTACCGCTGACTGGAGAGGAATCAAAATCCAGATCGAAATGATGGTCCAAAACAGATAATGCTTCATTACAGTCTTGCCAACAGCTGCTCCACTCCTCATCAAGGCCCTTAAGGAAGGTCCAAGAGACAGAAAGAAGGTAAAGAACGTCAAGCACAACGGAAACCTCAAGATGGACGATATTATTGAAATCGCAAAGAAACTCAGAGCCAAGTCAATGGCCATCGAATTCGCTGGTACTGTGAAAGAAGTTCTTGGAACTGCTGTCTCTCTCGGTTGCACTATCGAAGGAAAGAGCCCAAAGGAGTACACCCAACTTATCGACTCAGGTGAATATGAGGTCCACGAATGATGTGGTTAGTGATTTCCCTTAAAACTTTCTAAATAGTTAAGATACAAATTATTATTCTATTTATTGATTGATTAGGCATATTAAACTATATACTTATTTATATATACTCATAACTTATCATTTATGACTGTTTTAGTTGCAAAAGTTTTAAGTATAATAAAGGAAGAAAGTAACTTCTTAGTTGATGTTATCTTGTTCCTGATAAAAGATATAAATCATGCGGGATAAGCTGTATCAGTTGTCCTCCTTAATCATTAATCTTTCTTAGAATTCTTTAGTAGCTATAAACTGAGCTGCTTGATGCTGTTTAATTCTTCTTCGAGTCTTCTTCTAGCTTCTCTTTCCTCGTTGAGTTGCTTCTCAAGACTAGTTATTATAACTTAAGATTTTTTACTAACATTTGATCTGGCTTTACTAACACTATAAAATGAATGTTTTTAATTTCATTTGAATTATTACCTTGAGTATACAGATCTTTTCTCATCATCATCGGCACCTTTTGGGTTTTCCATATCATACAATGAGTTGATATCATCATATAATTCACTTTGATGCTCTCTGTCATCCTCATTTATAGGTTCTTATCCATCTGCTAAATGGTTCAAAGTTTGAAGTTGTTGCTGTGATAGAAGATTATCATTATTTTGATTATGATTCTTCAGAACCTGACTCATCATAATGTTTTGACTTGACTTTGCTTTTGATAGCAAGCTTGTCAAGGGTTGTTAAGCATCTTATGGTCTGCTTTTAGAAACAACACTAAGAGTATCAATTTCCTCGTTAAATCTTTAGATTTTGGGTAATTTTTGCATATGGCCAGCATCCTTATCGTAATTAGGTGGGTAGAACGTCTTAAAGTTCTTTGATACTTAGCTTGACTTGGTAGACAAAGCAGATGAACTCTTTTGTCTTTTGACATATGCTTGCTTTGAATAAAAAGATTTTGGTAAAGAACCCCCCTGTGGATCGTCATGAAGAGTACCCTTTAGCATAGGATTCTCATATAATGGGCTTTAGGCAATGTTTGTTTAACCCCCTAAAATCAGTTAACGATAACAAATCTAAGTAAAATTACCAAAGGTATAAGCTTGTTTATTCTGAATTCTTGGAGTATTGTGAGAATGTTATCCATTCATTACTGGAGCACCGTTTTTATCAGTAAATTAGAACTTTTTGGAGTTGGAAAGTCTTTGCTAAGGAGACATCAAAGAATCTTTGTAAGGTGGAAGCACCTAATTTTACTCTTAAACCCTGTGTTCTTGGTCAATTACACTTTATATAGATTAATAAGTGGATAATTTACTAGTTGTAGTAATCACTGACTTAACCAAAGTTTCTATGTGTCTAGTTAAACTTGAAAGCAGCAGTTCTTTCTTATCCTACTCTTTATTACCAAGCTAAGTGATCTGAAGCGTAGCTCATTTTTATTTATTAACAATAAACAGGCAAATTAGATTTTATTTCTTTTTAGAAAATTTCAATTAAATTAAATAACTAAGCAAGACGGGGTTTTGGGGTTTTGGGGTTTTGGGGTTTTGGGG